CCCCCCCCCCCCCCCCCCACCTTCGGCAAATGTAGGAAGGAACGATTGGCTATCTGTGAACGGTCCTGTGGGAGAAGTGCTCCGTCCTCTCGAGGCCGCGTGGTCAAACAACTGTGACATGCAAAACATGAGCCCCCTCCCTCCCCCATTCTCATGATGTGTGGTTTTCAGGACCCGGTGTTCCGAGTGCGAAAAGCGACGGCGTTAAATCTCGACAAGATCTGCAAGGTAGTGGGAGAAGCGGGGATCGCAAGGCTCTTGCCCGCGTACCTTCGACTAACCAAGGACGATGTTTATCGGGTGAGCATTGCTCCTGCGTTTGCTGTCTTTTCATAAGTTTCGTGGAGCAAAGATGGATGTGCCATATTTTATCTTTCTTGCGTATTTCCTCTTTGCATAACTCTCGTGGAACAATTTTGATACCATCTTTTATCTCTCCTGCGTATTTCCTCTTTGCATTGTACCCTTCGTCGAACAACGATGATACCATATTTTATCTCTTGCGCGCAAAAAAATCTGTTTTTTTTTTGTGGTTGGTTTTCGAGAAAAATGTTAGTGGTGGCAGTTGTTTTTTCCTTGTGCTTGGAATGTTACAGTAGTCGTGCAGACTAGCAGAAATCCTGATGATTTCATTGTATATACTACCGTAGAAGCAGAGGAGGAGAAAGCCGAAACAAACAAACGAAGAAATAATAGCCTGAAATCTGATGTCTCAGGACCAGGAGGATAACTGTGTTCGCGGTGCCAAAATATTTGACCGGCCTTGTACCGAGCACCCGGGACTACCAAGGGGTTTGTTTTGAGGTTGCACATGTGTTTTTCGACATCACTGGCCTCATCTGAGGCGGCCGGTGTTATTGTAGGCGGTCTCTTCCTGATGCGGGGGGCACTCCTTGTGTTCGTTTCTAACCCTAGCCCTTACCCTAATCCAGGTACGGAAAGCTTGCACGGAGGCGATGGTGGAGATGAGCAAGGCTGTAGGGTCGGAGGTGGGTCCCAAGTAGCAGCAGTATTAGCGCTGTGACTGTGGTTGACTGTTGCTCCTGGGTTTCGGCCTGCCCTGTGCTGCTGTGCTGCTGCCATCACCCACACCCGGCTGCTGGAGACGTTGCACGACATGAAACTGTTGTTGTCTTGTGCTGAACGGTCACGGCGAACTGTATTCCCATTCCAACAAGCGTCCGGGGCGGGCGGGGGGCATCCCGTCTTTTCGTTGTACCTGCCGGCCACGAGGACACTTGTGTGTGCGTCACGTCATGATGCCGCGCGTCCGCGGGGCCGTTTTTTTGCCATCATAGTGCTGCTGTTGCTGCTTTTGTTCGTTGGTCGCGTTGTTTCTCGTGTTTACCTGGGCTGCAATGGCGGCGCGCATGGCACGGCACGGCTGCTGCTGCGCTCCACCTTTCCTTTTCCCCTCTGTTGTTCGAGTACTGCTGTGATGTATAGTGTGTTGTCGCTTGCCGCGCTTGCCCGACCCCAAGAGCCCGAAGCACAGCACCGGAGCAAAACCATTTCCCTATGCCTACCCGTGATCCTTACAACCCTAGTAAATATCATCAACCTAAGCTATGTCCAACTCTTTTAACCCTACCTGACCCTACAATAACCATTGCCCTAAAAACACCCTCGTAGCCCAACCCCTGTTAACATCGCTTACGAACCTACTAACCCTTTGCCTATTATCCCTACTGCCCTTGGCCCTAGGTGAGTTTGCGGGAGTTAACGCCGGTATTTCTTAGCCTGGCCTCGGACTCTTCCAAGCTTGTCCGAACGGGGGCATTGCAGCACCTCGGCAGGCTTATCTCCACGCTGCCGGGCGAGTCAGTGAGCGAAGACCTCGTGCGGTACTTCACGGGGACCGCGGTGGAGAGCATGGGAGACCCGGTGGTGAGCAGTGCAGCGGTTGTTTTCCGTCCGTCTCGGTTGTTGTCTTCGTCATATTTTTTGCTTCTTAACGAAAGACGTCTGAGTATGATTTTTTTTTTTTTTTTCCTCAATAACATTACGCGAAAAATGTGGAGACGTGGGGTGGGGCATCTATTCGTACGCGTCGACAGACAGCACCTGCTTTAGCGGAGATCCTTCTATTCGTCGGTAATTTGTGTCTTCTTCCGGGCGGTTGTGAATGTGCGGGAGGTCTAGTGTCGTGGACATTTGCATCTCAACAAAGTTGTCAACAAAGTTGACATTTCGATACTCAAGACGAGAAGGCTGAACCATCACCGTTTTTGGTGAGAGTGATCGGGAGGTGGTATCTTGGGCGACATGCGGTTTGGCGAATGAGCATGCGTACACCAGACGTCTTTCTGTGTTGCGCTTCCTCTGCTACTCTGTTGTTCTCAACGGAGGCTTCCCTTCTGGATGCACCGCTCCCTCTGCTACTCTTTCTTTGTCAAATCGACGTTCCCGTTCTTGATGCCACCGCTCCCTCTGCTGCTCTCCTTTTCTCAGTTGATGTGAACCCTCCTGATGCCACCGCTTCCATTGCTACTCTTCTTATTGCGGATGCCAGGCGGATGCGGAGTTGCGATTGTATTGCGCCTTTTCCTTTCCAGCGGTGGTTGTCACCATTGGCCCTGACCGATGGCACGAGCTTCGCGAGTCGTTCGCCGCTCTAATCCGAGACCCTAGCTGGTCCGTCCGCAAGACCCTCAGCTTCAGCCTGCATGAGGTGTGCTCTTGTTGTTGTTGTTGTTGGCATTGTTGCTGCTGTTGGTATTGTTGCTGCTGTTGCTGCTGTGGTTGCTGCTGCTGCTGATGTCGCTGCTGTTGTCGCTGCTGTTTACGCTGCTGCCGCTATTATTGTTGTTGTGCGGTGTCACTGTCTTGATTCTCGGTTGGCGTTGAGTGCGTCTCTCCCCCTTTGTTGGTAGTCTGCATATTTTTTAGTTCCTTCGCATTGATTCCCCATGTTCGTTGTCTTGGGCCATCCCTATCCTCTGTCCGCAGATCGCAAAGGTTTTGAAGGCGGATGATGTGGAGGGCGATCTCGTGCCTGCAATGGAGGCGTTCTTGAGGGACATGGAAGACGTGAGTGCCCTACCCCCCCCCCCCTACCCTGCTAGTACGGAGCCCCCGGAAGTATTTTGTTTCTGTAGTGTGTCTACGCGATGATCTAAGATTCACGAAAGACGTGGGTAGGTTTGCCACATCCCCCCCCCTCCGCCCAATGGCCTGATTTGTGTTGCATGGTTTTCGGTGATGTTATCGCTGATTGGTTGGTGGGAATCACCGCTCTTTGTTTCCGTTTTCACGGCGATGCTGTCGATCGGCTTGGTTTGCCTGCATACCCATCCGTTGACGCGGCTGCTATTAAAATTAATAAAAAAAACGACCAGTCGTGACAGAGTATGCCAGACAGCTCAAACCAATCCAGCAATTGTTACCACCTCCCAACCACTTACAAACAGTGCACACTCGTATATGCTGCTACGCCGTTTGGGGGCTGCGAATGGCTTGTAGCTGAGATGTGCGAGAGCGGCAGATTGAGGCGTGGGTGGGGTTCTTGACTCGGGTGATCGTTTTTTCGAGAGTGGGAGGGGACCGGGGGGGAATGTCTTTCGAAGTCCTTTTTTTTTCACGCCGTTTTTTTTGTTTTTTTTCGTGCTCTTTTACTTGCCGGCAAAAAACAGGTTCGACTGGGCGTGATTCGGCACCTCGCCGATTTCTTCCAGGAGATGACTCCGCAGCAGAGGGAGAAGCACCTCAACGTGTTGGTTGAGGTGAGCGTGAGTCGGTACATACTCGGCACAGCCACCGTCGATTGTGTGCCCCCCGCCGCCCCGTTTCAATCAGATATATACGCGTTTGTTTTGTGATGTCGACGTTACGCATACATTACCTTGTTTGCAAGAACACATGATGTCGGTGTTACACACCCATCGCTCACGCATACAATACCTTGTTTGCAAACGCGCATGATGTCGGTAATGCCCACCCATCGCTTACGCATACATTACCTTTTTTTGCAAACACGCATAATGTCGGTGTCACGCACCCATTGCTTTTATCTGTGTCGTGATACCTTTTGTGCTCTCATACAGTGCAGCAGTCACTGCGTAGCAGAATTAATATAAAGTATGTATCGGTGCGGCTTTGCGCTAGGTCCCGGCTGTACCATGATCGTTCCCACGACAAATAGTGTTACCTTTGTCTGCACATCGTCCTGCAACCTGTATTCCGTATTCCCTGTTTGGCAACGAAGACACGCAGCATCGTTCCTTCTCTGTTTCCAATGGACACCATTTCCGCCGCATTATTTCATCCCCCTATCGCGTCCACACCCCCCAGACGACGTCGCGCCCATGTCTGTTTCGAATCGACACCCATTCCGCCGCATTTTGTTTTTCCTCGGTCGCATGCAGATCCTCCAGACGACGTCGCCCTTCAACTGGCGGTTGCGGGAGGTGCTGGCCCAGCAGCTGCCTCGCCTTGCGCCGTTGCTTACCCCAGACAGCGTTTTCTTCGCCGTGGTGCCTGTGGCGTTTGGGCTTCTCAACGACCCCGTGGCGGTGGTCCGAGAGAAGACCTTTGAGGTGGGGATAGGAAAAATAAATAAAAACAACCACAGAACGACTACCCGTTGGAGATATAACAGTTACGCCGCACGTAACGCCTCTTGGTTATTAGGAGCAGTGAATATTCAAACACAGAGAGACTACCCGTTCGAGATACAACCACAGTCGAACGGGTGGTTTTGGAGTCTTTGCGGTGAGTTGATATTGTAAGCTTGATGGGTTGCGTTTGTCGGCGGTGGTGTTTGGGGTTGCTCAATGATGGTCGCCGCTGCCATCATCGGAGAGTAGTTTTTTTTTTTTTAATAGTGGTGGTGGTGGTGGTGGCAGTGACGACATCGTTGTCGAGGATGAAGGTGGTTTGTTGTTCTTGTTGTTTTGTTATTGTTATTGTTATTGTTGTTGTTGTTCTTCTTGTTGTTGTTGTTGTTGTTGCAATTTGCGGTGGAACACGAGGTAGGTAGTTTACCTTGTTTTGGAGAGAAGAAATAAGTACTGCCAGCGTCTTTTGCGTCCCACGCCATGCGGCTTCAATGCCGCCTCGGTATTTCTTACGCTGCTGCAGAGTTAGAGAGAACCATGGCCTCTGCCGTGTTACAACGCTGCCTTCTTTCGGTGCTCCCATCCAACACGCCGTACTGTTCCACACAGCGCGACCAGTCATACACCTGAGACAAAACTAGAAACAATACTGTAGCTTGGCCATAAAGATCAAGCGCTCACGAAATATGCCATAACCTACGTACGGTGGGTTGCATAAGATTCCATTCCCCCTCCCTGGCCCGATTTTCAAAGCTCGATTAATCCTCGACCAATAGGATGCCAAAGGCGAGCGTTAGGTTTGTTGAGAAAGCTCTCGACGCTATGGTTCCAACTCCCGCCGTTTTCGGCACCGGTACTGCTTTCCCTGCAGAGTAATCGAGCTTTGAAAATCGGTCCAGCGGGTGTGATACCTAAATTTACGCAGCCTTCGGTAGTCGCTGTTGGCATGCCCCCACAGGTAAATAAGAACATACATATGACCAGGCTTCGGGGCAAAATAATAGGTTCTTGAGTTGTGGTGCGCGGCTCTGTATCGCGACGATGTGCCGGCTCAGGTGGTTGCTCCCCTGCTGCAGCTGGCGGGGGCCCACTCGGGAGCCCGGCAGGCCTCCATGGTGTCACGAGTCAGGGAGCTGGCTCACGCCCACACCTACCAGGTATGTGCATACACGCGTTCCTCCATTTTGATCGGTTGCTGAGTCGCTACAGCAGTCTGCTGTAGGGGCCCAGAGACAAGAAAAGTAAAAAAAAAAAAAATGGCATACCTTCTTGGCGTAGAGGGTTTGTTTTACCATGTAGTGTATAGAACAGACTGCAGGGGATAAAGACATGGAACAGGGACTGGGTTGAGGCTTGTATCATGTTATTGTTTCGTTGTCAACGTCGAGTACAGGTTGTTCTTCTATTGCAGAGTTTGTTGTAGGATCCGCCGCTGCCTGCGCTAGCTGTGTGTGTGTGTGTGTGTTTTCATCCCTGTGTTTTTTTTTTTTTTTTGTAAGCTTTGCGGCCTCATTTTCTCCACGCAATGTGTCAATCTTGACTACTGTGGGCCTTCTCCAGCACTGTTACGGAGGAGGGTTGTCGAACAAACCCTACCGTGGTGCCAGGTAACCATCGCAGTGAGTGTGCTTGATCGGCTGCGGAAGTCATTGGTCGAGAGGTTTTGCGGAGAGGCAAGAGAGCGAAATATGTCAAATTGGGCGCTTCGCGGGTACAGCGCTCGTAGCTCCGTCGGCGTTCGATGGACCCACGGTGCTGTTTGTGTCATGATTCGGAGCCTATAACGTTGTGGACATGCAATGGTTTCGCTGCCGCCCCCGCCCCCGCCTACCACTGCGCCAACACCACTACCCTCTTGGCAGTGAATTATTGCCTGTGTGCGTTATATTCCAACTCAAGTTCTACGGCCAGTAGTGTGAAAGGAGTGTCCTATTGATCGAGGTGACGCACGTTCTAATCCTTTTTTTCTGTCATTTGTTTTTTCTCTCGTTTTTCGTGCTTCTGTGGGTTGGGTCAATTCCATCACAGGCCCGGCAGATGTACGTGTATATCTGCCACAGCATGGCGTGCAGCGCCAATGTAAACCACGAGCGGCCCCTCTTCATTCAGGTACAGCATTTACAGCAGTAGCACGTGTTTGTTTGGGTTGCAAATCAACAGTTAACACTGTCAAGGCCGTTCTTGGTGGGCAAGAGACACGGAGAGATGGATAGGCAGACAGAGGCAAACAGTTAGCGGCCGCACTTCGAAAAATATGAAAATACTGACGAACCTCTACAGTAGTTTCGACCAAGGCCCGGGTCCTTGGTTCTTTGGGTTTTTTGTTTTGTTGTTGTTTGTTTCTCTCACATTAGCTCTATAGTCCACGACAATGGGGAGCCCGTGGTCGCAAAACCCGGCGCATACGACGCCGCGGGGAAACAAAACAAGAATAGAGTACAAACCACTCGGAAAAAGAAAACAAAATGATACAAAGAAAAGAACAGCTACCGCACCGACCGGTAACCGATCCAGGGTGTTATGCTACGAATGGCCGTTAAATAGGTTGCAGCGAAGGGGTTCTTAACATACCTCACAAAGGTTGTCTACGTTGTTAGATTTTGAGTTTTTCGAGGCCATACATTGTATCAATGTCGTGACTAAATTGCCAAGTTGTTGAGCGCGGGGGCTGACTGTACGGGTAGACAGACACACGGGACAGGAAGGCCTGCTTCTGTCTCTCGCTCCGGCTTCTTTTTTGTCTTGTCAGCGTTGTGCCCTGCACCTCTCGTGTACTTGGTGTCCGCTGTGCGTTCTTTGTGTCGCCTTTCGTGCGTCACCTTCTTTTTTTGTCTATCATATCAGGAGTTCGTGCCTTCCTTGGCTGCACCTCTCATGTACCTTTTTCTGTCTCTTTTATTTTGTCTATCACATCAGGAGTTCGTGCCTTCCTTGGCTGCACCTCTCATGTACCTTTTTCTGTCTCTTTTATTTTGTCTATGATATCAGAAGTCCGTGCCTTCCTTGGCTGCACCTCTCATGTACCTTTTTCTGTCTCTTTTATTTGTCTATGATATCAGAAGTTCGTGCCTTCCTTGGCTGCACCTCTCATACATCTTTTTTTGTCACCGTTCTTTCGTCTGCCATATCACTCTTCGGAGTTCGTGCCCTCCCTGGCTGCCCCTCTCATACCTTTTTTGTCCCCTCTATTTGTCTATGCATGTCCTATGGTAGGATATGATGTGATATCAGGAGTTCGTGCCCTCCCTGGCTGCACCTCTCATATACCTTTTTTTGTCCCCGTTCTTTTGTCTATTCTATTCAGATCATATCAGGAGTTCGTGCCCTCGCTGGCTGCACCTCTTCTGTACTTTTTTGTCCCCTCTATTGTCTACGCATGTACTATGATAGGATATGATGTGATATCAGGAGTTCGTGCCCTCCCTGACTGCACCTCTCATGTACCTTTTTTGGTCCCCTCTCTTTTGTCTGTTCTATCGTATGATAACAGGAGTTCGTGCCTTCCTTGGCTGAGCTGGCGATGGACAGCGTCGTGAACGTGCGGATCGCCATGTCCCGGACACTGTCCAAGTGCCCAGGTACATGTGGTGCTCGTCTTCGCTTGTCTTGTCTTGGTGCCGTAAGGCCTTGTCTTAGTGCCCCTAAAACAGGCATCGTCTTTGTGCCGCAAAACTAGTCTTTTAGTTATGGCCTTGTCTTGGCGCCGCAAAAAAGGCCCTGTCTCAGTGCCGCAAGAATGGCCTTATCTTATTGCCGCAAAAGAGGCCTTGTCTTTTAGAAAAGGCTTTGTCTTGGTGCTGCATGGCCTGTCTCAGTACCGCAAAAAAATACCTCGTCCTAATGCCACGAAAGAAGCCTTGTCCTAGTGCCGCAACAAATGGCCCTGTCTCAGTGCCGCCAGAATGCCCTTATCTTGTTGCCGAAAAAAAAAAGGTCGTCTTAGCGCCGCATGGCCTTGATCGCCAGAGGCATTCTTGCTTTTCTTGCTCGAAATGATGCCCCCGTTATTTCCTGTTGAGGCACATGTAGTGCTGTCGTTTTTCTGCTCTCTTGGCACCTCGGCTCGGGTTGTTGACGGTAGGAAGGGAGGAATGCGGGATTGCGATATATATTCTGTGTCCCGTATCATTTGGGCATTGCCTTGGGCATTGCACACTCTGGCTATTTTGTTATGGTGGTTTGCGATTTTTTTTCCTGTAAGACGAGCGATTTTAGAGACAACGAGACAGATGCAGACACAGACACACACAGAGGCAGATACACAAGACAGGCAGACACACGAAGAGAGCAGCAAGATAGATAAAACGGCGAAAGCAAGAAATTGACAGCTAGGCAGGCAGCAGACTCTGACTTAGACACCTTGCCGCTTTTTTCTAGCCGGGTACCTTATGCATCGGCTTCTGCCGGGACGGTGCGGTAGAGCATCTCGCGTTTCCCGGAGTTTGTTGTGTGACCCCCCCCCCCCTAATTCGAACATGCAGACTGGGTTATGGAACTCCCGGATATCCGTAGGGCGATCCACCACCTCGTGAGGGACAGCAATCCGGACGTGCGGCATTTCGTGTCGTTCTTGCCGCCGATACTGGGGCACGACCTCCCGC